TGGTGTGTATAATATGTACAAAACACACTTGTGTCAAAAAAAGCAGAAGGCCATCTGGGCAAATTTAGAGATATCCAAGTATTGAGATTTATTTGTGCCAATCCCATTTTTAAGTCCTTCATTTCTTTATTGCTCCTAGAGATATAAAATTGGAAATATGTTAAAATCTGATGACAGTTGGCCAATGTGTTGTACAATATATCAAACTAACGCCTTATCCTGAAACTGGATAAGAATGGTGATTAAGCAGAGAGCTTGGTTCTGTATTACAGAAATATAGACCAAATTATATATATTCCAGGTTTCTGCTAAACATATCAATTTTATTTTGCCTTCCCTCCAGAGAATCCATCTTCACTCTTCAGTACAATATTCGTTCATTCATGAATGTGAAGCACTGGCCTTGGATGAAATTATACTTCAAGATCAAGCCCCTGCTGAAGAGTGCTGAGTCAGAGAAGGAAATGGCCAACATGAAGGAAGAGTTTGAGAAAACAAAGGAAGAGCTTGCCAAGGCAGAGGGCAAAGTGAAGGAACTGGAAGAAAAAATGGTGTCCTTGATGCAGGAGAAAAACGACTTGCAACTTCAAGTCCAATCTGTAAGCATGTTAGATATTAAATATTGTTGACCTATTGAACAGTCCAGTGTAGTTTAGTGAGCAGTAATTTAAAGCTTGCAGATGAAACTTCACTGAAAATATTTGGGATTATTAAGATATTTCCCCATATTGCTACATATACTTAGAATCTTACTTACTTATTGTATATCTGTAATATTGTTTCAAACTGTTGTAATTAAGCAGTAGATGATCTAACACATAAAGCTACATAAGGTAAACTATTATTCTTTTTACATTTTGTCAACTAACACTACCAATGTTCATTAAAGAGCCAGTTGGAATTGGGCAGCATCACAAATCAAATAAATAATAAATAGTGAATATATTTTGTGCATCATATTGACTTGCCCAGTATGCAAGAACTAATTACCTTTGATTATTGTTCCAATTAATATAACTACTGAGAGCTGATCTTCACTAATATTTCTTAGTGAAATGTTATTTTCTCCACTAGAGTAAGTAATTTTGCATGTGTGCAAATATTTTAATCAGGAAACTTATTTTATCAAAATGGCCTATGTTTTCCCCCAATAGGAAGCTGATGGCTTGGCAGATGCTGAGGAGAGATGTGACCAGTTAATCAAAACCAAAATCCAACTGGAAGCTAAAATTAAGGAGCTGACTGAGCGGGCTGAAGATGAAGAAGAAATGAATGCTGAGTTGACAGCCAAGAAGAGGAAACTGGAGGACGAATGCTCAGAATTGAAGAAAGACATTGATGATCTTGAGCTGACACTGGCCAAGGTTGAAAAGGAGAAGCATGCTACAGAAAACAAGGTACTGGACAACAACATACTGACATCAAATTACTATATACCATTGCCATTTCAGAGCATAGTAGAAGATTATAACCCTGTCTGTTCAACTTTCAAAGGTGAAAAACCTTACAGAGGAGATGGCGGTCTTGGATGAGACCATTGCCAAACTGACCAAGGAGAAGAAAG